GTAATACCTTCACCGGTAAAAGATGTCTAGAGCTTTCGAGAGGCTATCAGTATAGAAGTACTCACTCCATTCTGAGGATCTTAGCATTGACTTTACTAGAGTCCAGTCTGCCTTACTGTAGTTCCTGTAAGTTATTTGTTGTGAAGTAGGGGTATGGGTTGCATTGCTACTTGACGGAAGTGGCAGTGCACACAGCACTGTTTTGTGGTCACTCCCTGAAAACTCAGAACCTACTAGGGTAGAAAGGGGACTTATATTGTGGCAGAAGATTAAGTCTAGTACGTTATTACCTCTTGTAGGAGTTGTGACAGTCTGCTTCCAGCCAAGTATATCCAGTGTGCCTAAGAACTTATCAAGTTTAGTTGGACCTGTGGGTATTTCCCAGTTGATTTCTGGTAGGTTAAAGTCTCCACATAGGATCTTATGATCGTAGCGGAGGGTGGATAATTGTTCTAGAGTATTAATAAGTTGGGTCTCGTAATTACTAAAGGTGCCAGGTGCTCTATAGGTGCATCCAATTAATACTATTGCGTTATTTAAGTGTAAGTTAACCCATAAAGTCTCAGGCATGTTAAGTGTACTACTTTCTAGCTGTGATACAGTAAGTGTATTCAGAAAGTACATGAGACACCCCCCTCCCTTACCACCTTCCCTGTCACACCGAAAGTGTGTATAGTTATCTAAGCTTATGTCTTCATCCAGTATGTTCGAGTTACACCAGGATTCAGTGATGACAATTATAGGGGGTTTGTATATTACTGTGAGTGCTCTGAGCATCGGTAGTTTATTTAGAACGGATCTAGCATTTATGAGGATTAGGTAAAGATGAGATTTGAAATAGCATTTGAAGTACTTAAGTTCGTTAATCAGCCCCGAACGTGGTTCAGCACCCAGTAGTACTGTTTGACATGACGACCGTATGTTAAGAGTAGTTTCAGCATCATGTTCAACTATGTCTATCGAGTTGGTGTGTGCTGTTTTCGGTGAAGAATTGAGCGTTGGAGTACTGGATGTGCTATAGGCTAAGGCATTTTTATTTTTAGTTAAGCTAGAAACGGGGGTAGGGATCTTTACTTGACCTAAACTTGTGCATGTACCAAGTGTGCTTAGTGGATGCGGGCGAACTAGACTGTTCCTACATTCATGCAAATGGGGAGCCAGCACTAGCGGTTTAGGAGTGTTAGCATCCCTACCAGCTGTTTTTTCAACGCTGACAGGGACGCAGGGGATAAAAAATGATTGGGACCTTGTGAAAACCATGGTCTATTATTCCACCTATTGTTAGGTACTAGTGGTGTCCTTGTAAGGGTTTCGAATGTACTGCTTTGTGGGTTAGTTCCCAGCAGACTTGTACCGTATATCCGATCAAAATTTATTAGCGTGCCATACTGTGAGTGCCCTGAGTTGTTGGTGGTCGAGTTCTGACTATTGTCACTTGTACTCTTGAGGGTGGCATTGTTTTGGCGTTGGTTATCGGTGTGTGCCATGGTGCTATTTCGCACGTTGTGAGTGCCAATACTATTGACCGTGGGGAGTGTGGGCATATTTATACTGCCATTGTTGTTGTTGGCATGATTTGGGGTCATATTTTCCTTTTTTACCAATGGACTTATGGCTAGGAGAGGAAAGGGTCAACTTTCGGGGGATTTTGACTTCTTTTCTTGGATTATTTAGTGACATGTCTAAATCTACGGTGGTAGGTGGTATAGTTTTATTGGCTATTTGATTACAACTTAGCGGCCATTCGGTTGGTGTCGCTCTCTGAGAAGATAATTCTGTGTGGTTAGAGAGGGGTGGTGCGGTGGATTCTACGGTGTCTCTCAAAGGGTTGGGTATAATTGCTGCTTGCAATGTCCTATTGTTTATTCCAGAATTAGACTCAGTGTGATAATTATATACGCGCCTTTCTATGACGGTCTTGTCCACCGCAACCTTTATTAGTTTGTAATTTCTGGCTTGCGATAGGGTGTGTTGGGAGTGGGTAAATTTTCTGGCCTCAGCCGGTGTTTCGAACTGAAAACGAATAGGACAACACTTGTCATGTTGACTCTTCTTCAGCCTGTAGCACTTAGTCTTGGAGTTGGGCATTTTCGCCTCACTAAGTAGGATGCGCTGTACCTTTTTTAGTGCCTCATTATCCGGAACGTTGTAGACAATAGCATTTAATTTAGCATCTAGTCGTTTTGTTACTTCTGTAGTAACAAAGTTAATTAGGTTATCCACCTTAGATACCGATTCACTGTCAAGTTTGTTAAGGTCTACAGTTTTCATGAGAATAGTTAAAGGTGTCAGTTCACAGACCTGCAGTCTGATATCAGTGATCTGACCTGATAAATTGGAGATTTTGGTATTGGTATCGGAAATTCCAGGATCTACTGACTTATTGTTTTTTAAGTCCCTTAACTCGGCCTTAAGTTCTCCTATAGACAACTTTAGAAGTTCTATTTCTGAAGATAGTACTGAAACAGAGCTTGAAGGCTGGAGCTTTTCGATAAGCACATAAGGTGTAGGGAGGGTTTCTGTATGAGCAGAGGGTACTGAATTTTTGGGAGTAGTGCTAATACTAGCTGTCAGTATAGTTTTATCCTCAGTTTCAGCTCGACGCTTACGACATACAAGTGAGTTTTGTGGCTCACTATAACCACTTGTAGGAAGTATGTTGCTTGATGTAGCAATCAACGACTTAAAATTAGTCATCAGTTTTACAGGGGATTGAGTTCGCTGCTTTTTACTTTGGTTAACCATAACTATTTGATATGAGAGTTGATAGTTATAGGTATGGAAGTAGTAGAGGACTTGTGCAAGGATTACAACAAGATAAATTTTATGTAACGAATCACGCAAAAATGTAACGCAAACGTTGGACGTACCGCTACGAGTGTGCACGCACGCACGTGACACGACTGAGTACCAAATGGCGGGGATACTTGACCGGAAGTCTTCAGCTAAAGAAGTCGACTTAAACAGTGAGGGTCAGCATCCAATGTTGAGTGGTGATTGCTGTGGTCAATAATTTTGGGGAATTATTTACCGCTACACATCTAAACTCCCCGTTTTACTTCTTTACATTCTCGCTTGTCTTACTCTCCTGACTACTCCAACTATTGCGTCCCTTACACTATTGTTATTACTATTAGCGGTATTACGTACATATAAACATAAACATATATATACTTCAAATTTTATTAGCTGTCTACTCTTACGTTTTCTTTATTTCTTTTTCTGTCTTTTGGTCTGCATAACTTACTCTAATTATATCTGTTATTATTAGTACCTCTTTTCTTTTGTCGACGACACCAGATGAATAACTGGTGAAAGGACCAGCTCCATTCACAGTAGCAACACGGTCTTAACACGCCGTATACTACAAACAACATTTCATTAATCCCAGCACCACTCCTCTTGGAGTCAACCAAATTTACGACAATCGAGTGACGAGATGAACTACGCAGAACTTTACCGAAGACCAGGAACCTTTACCTCACAATCAAGAAGCCAGCACAAAGAAATCAGTTTGGTTTGCACTTGCTCATAAAAATGATTTTGGATATTAGAGTTTTGAAATGTTGAGTACTGGTTCTCACACCTATTCATAAACTCTTGGAACTGATTTCCAGAAGAAGCAGTGTCTGCAAGCTCAACTGATTCACTCAAGAAGCGTTTGGATAACCACAGAAATTTACTAGAAAACGATTAGCATAGACTCCAAGCCTTCTATCCTCAACCAATAAATCTGAATCTTCGGGTAAGGGCATTGAATATTGAAATCTCTGCAAACAGTTGAACAAAAATTTTATTTCTGCGCATCGTGGGAGTTTACCAACAATGACTGGTAGGATAGCCTTCTTTCAAATTTATGTTAATATTTCGCTAGACTCTAAACAATAATTGTTTCTGATGGAGTCAATATAAATGATATCACCCAACTGAATTTAAGCCCTATATGTAAGTTGTAATTTTCTGCTGTATCGCCAAGATTCACCTTGTTTTGATAACTCCTTGGTTTCATCTGGTGACTTTAACATATGTGGGGACAGTCGCCATAGTTCCCCCAAAACTGCTAATGATGGAACGAGTCGTAAATTACTAAAGAAGTTTGAGGTAATGGGAGACTTTTCCAAAAGCGCTGAATCAGAAAGGTATGATGTGGAATATTTCTTGTCTGTTAGTTTGGTTAGTATCAATGCAATCTTCATCTCATGGAATAATATATATTATATACTATATATTTTTTTGTAGAAAAATA